AAAAAAGGGAAATAATAGGTAAGATAAGATAAGCAAATGCATAACACTATAATACTTCCATTTACCTCGCCACCAGTGGCAAGTATTGAACCCTCTCCACTAAATGACACAGCCAACTGTAAACCAACATCATTTAGCTTCACTAGAGCCTCCTGGTCAGATCTCAAAACTAGGCTATGTGGATCATCTCCTTCTGGTGATTCCCACCGCACCAACCTATGCAATTGGCACATGGTAAGAATTCAGAATTGCTGAACCATCGGGCTGACTTAAATTGTGCTTAAATCAGTCAGGAAAAAAAGACAAACGGCATATTTATTATAGAATAAAATAAGATTGAAGAAGTATATAGTTGTATGTTTTGCAGTTAAAACTTAATTAACCACCAGTTCATCTACAGTAACACCCCAACAAGTTATGCTCGTTGATAAGGCCAATGAGATGGGCCCAACAACTGAAATGAACTTAACATCACAAGATGAAACAGATACAGGTGCCCCCGAGTTTTAGCTACAATCAGGAAATAAGCTCTACTAACAAATCCAGCACAGTGCTTACACCGACAGTTCAAGCATATTATGGGGTTATCAAGAGGCATCATTGTATGTTACTAGAAGTCTTGAACACTATATTGTGATATGATAGGTTAATTATATTATGGTCGAATTAATCAGAATTTACAGCATATAACCCCACATCCACAACACCCCTGATCAAACGGAGTACCGGACTCACCGAAGTATTCTAAGCATACATACCATGTGTGTTATGGATATGCAACTTGTATTATTAGGAGGCCAAAGCCAACATATATACACATACATGAGGATGCCAAAAGGCTACAAGAGGATGCCAATAGACTTGAATGCAAAAGGCCAAAAGACAATATTAATATAACTCTAACACCCCCCCTCAAACTCATGGTGGATCCACAACACTGAGTTTGGAGAGGTGAAATCCATGTTGCGCTCTAGTCTGAGCCTTCGTGAAGAAGTCCGCGAGCTGTAACTCAGAAGGCACATACTGAAGAGCAACAACATGATCCTGCACAGCGGCGCGCACATAAGAAGCATCAACACCAATGTGTTTGGTAAGCTCATGTTTCACAGGGTCCCGCGCAATACTGATAGCACCTGTGCTGTCCGACAGGAGGGTGGTAGGTGTAGTAACAGAAACACCAAAATCCTCCAGTAACCATCGTATCCAAGTCACCTCTGCTGTCAGAAGAGCCATAGCTCGCAACTCGGCCTCTGCACTCGTACGAGAAACTGCAGCCTGTTTCTTCGTCTTCCAGGAAATGAGGGAACCACCAAGAAAGACACAGTAGGCAGAAAGTGAACGGCGATCCGTAGGATCACTAGCCCATGTAGCATCCGAATAGGCCTGGAGCTGTAACGAGCTGTAACGGGGAAAAAGAGACGATGAAAGATCGTGCCACGAAGATATCGTAGAACACAAAGAAGGCGACTATAGTGAACTGAAGTGGGAGCAGAAACAAACTGACTCAGAATATGGACAGGATAGGAGATATTCGGACGAGTGACAGCAAGATACACAAGACTCCCAACAAGATGACGATAACGTGTCGGATCAGACAAGGGCACACCATCAGAAGCACGAAGGTGAACATTGAGCTCCATAGGAGTCTCAGTAGTGCGCTCATCACTAAGAGCCGCACGAGTAAGAAGATCCTGGATATACTTTTCTTGGGAAATAAAAAAGCCATCAGAGGTGGAGGAAACCTCAATCCCAAGAAAGTAACGAAGAGGACCAAGATCAGACATAAGGAACTGCTCATTAAGACGCGCCTTGACAAAGGCAATGTACTCAGAATCGTCGCCAGTGATGATCATGTTATCAACATATAGAAGAAGAAGAGTGCGACCACGAGCAGAAAGGTGGACAAACAATGCTGGATCGTGATCACTGGGTGAAAACCCATCAGCGGTGACCACAAAGGCAAAACGCTCAAACCAAGCGCGAGGGGCTCGCTTAGGGCCATATAGAGAGCGACGAAGACGACAAACCATGCCATCGGGAACTGAATACCCAGGTGGTGGCTGCATATGAACCTCCTCACGCAACTCACCATTAAGAAAGGCATTTTTAACATCAAGCTTTGACACACACCAGTGGCGAACAGAGGCCACGGCGAGAAGTGTGCGGACAGTGGTCATATGGGCCACAACAGCAAAAGTCTCATCATAATCACGACCATGCTCCTGCTGAAAGCCACGAGCCACAAGACGAGCTTTATAACGCTCAAGAGAACCATCAGAGCGAGTCTTAATCTTATAGACCCACTTACAAGTGATTGGACGAATACGGGGAGGAAGAGAAACCAGATCCCATGTGTTGTTGCGCTCAAGTGTGGCAATCTCCTCTGCCATCGCAAACTGCCATTCAGGATGAACAACAACATCACGATACGAGGTAGGCTCAAGTACAACCGAAAGGCCATATTTGCTAGGAGAATAGCGGTCAGGAGGAGGACAAGGTCGAGCCCGAAGACCATAAGTCGGCTGGGACGAGGAAGACGGTGCACCAGAAGTAGATGGCACGTCAGTAGATTCATCCATAACACATCGACGACGAGTATAATGAAAAGGAAAAGTGGGATGAGAAGGAACCACCGGAGGTGATGGAGATGGAGAAGACATCGGTGATAAAGGTGGGGTGTCATGAAATAAGGAAGGAGAAGGAACGATGGAAGAAGACGGTGTCGGATCTGCAATAGTGGGACGAGAAGGAGTAGGAATATGAGGCACGGAGGGAGGTGTATCAGGAAACTGAGAAAAGAGATATCCTCTACTGAAAAGGTCAAAGAGGATGGTCGTGGATAGAATGGACGAGACTCATCAAAAGTAACATCCCTAGAAATACGCATCCGTTGACCGACAGGATCCCAACACCGATAACCCTTATGCTCATCACTGTAGCCCAGAAAAACACACTCGACAGACTGAGCAGTTAGTTTGGTGCGTTCTCGACGGGCAAGGAGAACATAACAAACACAACCAAACAATCGAAGGGCAGAATAATCAGGATAATGATCAAAAAGACGATCTAGAGGAATACCTCCCTGTAGAGCAGATGAGGGTTGAATGTTTATGAGATATGTGGCAGTGGAGACAGCCTCAGCACAGAAATGAGGCGGAAGAGAGGCGGCAATCATCATCACACGAACTGTCTCAAGAAGGTGGCGATGCTTGCGCTCAGCCACGCCATTCTGAGCGTGAGCACCAGGACAAGAGAACTACGCAAGAGTTCCCTGCTCAGCAAGAAAACCACGCAACATTTTGGAGATATACTCGCCAGCAGAATCAGCACGAAACACACGAATAGGTGTAGAGAACTGAGTGTGGACCATGGCGGCAAAACGCTTATAAATAGAGAGAACCTCGCTACGAGAAGACATGAAGTAAAGCCAAGTGTAGCGAGAGAAATCATCTATAAAAATAATATAGTAGCGATGGCCCCCTTTGGAAGAGAAGGGAGCCGGTCCCCACACATCGGAATGAACTAAATCAAAAGGGCGTTGAGACACTGACTCACTTGTAGGATAAGGTAACTGAACCTGTTTACCAAGCCTACAACCCTGACACTGCAAAGAGACATCTCCTGAGACAAGCCCCAGAAGACCATGACGAACTAAAGACGATAGCCGAGAACCACAAAGGTGACCAAGGCGATGATGCCACTGCTGGAAGGAGCTGGTAGCAAAAGCGGCGAAGGCAGATGTACTGGCGAGTGTAGTGGCAGCGGAAGGAACATGAAGCCAGTCTAACTCCCAAAGCCCCTGGGAGTCAAGGCGGCGAGGGCCAGCTCCAACCAAAGCCTTTGTGTGATGATCCTGGACAGTGCAAGAATCAACGTCAAGAATGATGCGACAACCAGAATCAGTAAGCTGACTTGCAGAAAATAAGTTCATGGTAAGGCGAGGAACATAAGAAACATCTGGAACATGAAATGAAGAAGTGGAAAGAATGCCTCGACTAGCAACAGGTAGAGGAGTACCATCAGCAGTAAGAACATTAATAGGAAAATCGAGAGATCTAAGAGAGGACAAGACAGAGGAATCAGAAGACATATGAAATGAAGCTCCAGAATCCAGAACCCATGGGGATGTACCAGACTGTGTAGATGGTGGTCGCTCAACACTAGAAGCATCAGTCACAAAGCCTGCAGTACCCATCAAAGAACCTGAAGCAGCAAGTAGACGCTTAAGCTTCATAATATCCTGCTCAGTCAAGGAGACAGTAGACGACGTCGAGGAAGAAGCGCGAGTCCCAGTAGAAGAATTGCGCTCCCTATTACGCATATCACGCTTCTTCTTGAAGCAATCAGATTCTGGGTGACCATCCCTGTTGCAGTACTCGCAATGAGTATGAGGACGAGAGCGGCCCTCACGAGTGCGGCTCTCACTACCAGAAGGAGTGGGTAGTAGCGGAGGAACACTGGAGCGAGAAGGTACTGGTGGAGCAATAGCTTGAGCAGCAAGCACAGATGGAACTTGAAGCAGACCGACACCACGGAGGCGAGTCTCCTCAGCACGAAGCTCAGAAAGCACCTCAGGAATAGGAACACGGCCACGAGCAAACAACTGAGCACGTCGAGGCTCAAACTCACCACAGAGCCGCGATAAGAACTTGTAGATGCGCTGAAACTCCAAGTCTGACCTCACAGTCTGGCAACATGGGCAAGTGCCACAAACAGCAGTGCGAAGAGAGTCAAGCTGGCGCCAGATAGCAGAACTCTGAGTGTAAAACTCATCAATAGTGGAGTCTCCCTGCTGAAGAGCATGCTCCTGACGGACCGCAGACAAGTAGAGAGCATCACCAGAGGGTTGGTACCGCTGGCGAAAATGAGTCCACATCTCAAAGACAGTGCTGAGGCCCATAAACTCGGAAGCAAACTGAGGAAGAACACTGGAAGTGAGGACAGCTGTGGCACGAGCATCGTCATCACACCACTGAGTGTAAGCAGTCAGATCATCACGATAAACGGAAAAAGCATCCGAATAATCCAAGACCTGCTGGTCATAAGCAGCAGCTGCATCATCGGCGGCAACCCTGGTTGTAGCCCTATCAGCATCAGAAGCATCTGTCGCGAGAGCCAGTGGTGTCGGCGGTGGAGTAGGAGCCACGGGAGAGACTGGGCGAGGAGGACAGGGGACCTCACCGAAAAGAACACCCCACAGATGAAGGTCACGCATGTGAATGCGCATAAAGGCAACGAACTCAGCATAGTTAGCCCCATCAAAGATCACCGGGCAGCGAGGGATGGCGACATAGCCGCCCGATGAAGACATGGTGCTCTTTATCTCTCCGTCCTTTTTATCTCTCTCTCTCTCTCTTTTAAGCAAAGGCCACCCAAAGAGCCCACTTCAAGCAAATGAATCAAAACCGATCCAGACCGGGCACAAAACCAACAACGGACCACACAGAAGCCACGTCCTTGAGAAAGCACCAGGAACGATGAGCAGCTCGATCCAGAATCACCAGACATCGCCCAATCTGGAGCAGCAGCCGAAACAGGGCAAGGCAACGGCGGTCGCCCCAATTTCGGAGCGAGTGCAGCGGCTGGCGACCTGCGCCAGGAGCCGGCGGCGGCGCCCCGCGACAGGAGCCGGCGGCGGATGAGCGCCGCGGACCCCGCGACCCTGCGTTTCGAGCCGGCGGCGGCGCCCCGCGTCAGAAGCCGGCGGGGGACGTTCCCCTCGACCCCGCGGCCCCAGCCCAGCGGCGGGCGTCCCGCGTCCTGCGGGCGTCCCGCGTCCTGCGTCGCAGGCGCTGCGTTCCGCATCCTCGCGGTCTCGATCCAGAGGGCCAAATGGCGTGGCGCTATCCAGAGAGAAGGTGCGGCCGAGGCGAACTCAATCCAGAAGAGAACAGCCGGACCGGCAAAAAGGGCCGGATGGATTGGGGCAGCGGCAGACAGCAGCCGGAGTAGAGAAGGAAATCACGGCGGCGGAGTAGCGGATCAAGCACGAGTTGCGCGTGCTAAAAAAAACTAGGCTCTAATACCATGTTATGGATATGCAACTTGTATTATTAGGAGGCCAAAGTCAACATATATACACATACATTTGGATGCCAAAAGGCTACAAGAGGATGCCAATAGACTAGAATGCAAAAGGCCAAAAGACTATTAATATAACTCTAACAATGTGAACCACAGGTTAACAACAATTAACCCACAGGGTAACACTAAAGACCGCACGCATTGTGGAGATTTTGAGCTAATCAAAATTCACGACAGACGAATGCACTAGCGAGCATCAGTGTCACATGTCCAAGGACTCGAGTACCTGCAGCCGTTGGGGAAGGCGCAGAGGACGCCATCGCCGCGGGGGTGTACGGCCATCCTGTATGGTACCTGCTCCTCTGTCCCCAGCCTAAACACCTGCACCCCACCATCATCAAAACAACAGCAACAAATCAGCATGTAAATCTCTCCCATGATCCGTATGGATCTAGTGAAATCAGAAAGCGAGGGGGCACGGGTCGCTCACGGGCTCGGGGGAGAGCGCTGGAGGCGCCCCTGCAGCGGCGGGGTCGAGGGCGGCGACGACCAGCGCGTTGGGCACGCCGCTCCGGCCCTCGCCTCCGCCTCCACCAAGGACCACCATGGGGGGCGGAGGTGGGGAGGACGGGGCCGGGGACGCGTCCGCATCCACGACGTCGTCGGCGGATGGGGAGGGCTTGATGATGTGTGCGAGTGGGAGCCAGGAGGCGCAGTAGATCGGGAAGCCGTAGGTCTGACCGCCGGCGCGAGGCGCCATCACAGGAGAGGGAAGGAGTAGCGGTGGCCGGGGGTGGTCGGTGGTCGCCGGAGATGCGGTGAGAGACTGTGGGTATGCAGAGGTGGAGGTGACGACGGGTGAACGGTACGGGGTATACCGTCCCGAAAATCCCGGGCCGGGCTGAGCCCGAGCATGCCATCGGGCCGGGCTCGGGCTTGAAAATCGAGCCGGTCGGGCAGGTTAGGCTGGGCTCGGGCTTGCGCAAAACAGGATTTTAGCCATAGCCGGGCCTTGTCAGGCTTTTTCGGGCTTGGGCCGGGCTCGGGCCCGATATAGTAGGCCCGATGATAAGGTCGGACCGAGTTCGGGCCTGAATTTTCAGCACCGGGCTATTTTTGGTCCGGCCCGGGCTATGCCCAGGTACAGTACAGGGAGGGAATAAGACTGTAGCACATACCTACTCCACCGTAAGTCGCATTCTCAAGGAAAGTCGCATTCTCAAGGGAAGATACGAAGGATGGTTCGCACAGTCGCGCACTTCCAAGTTCGGGCCAGCTCCAGCGGATGAAGAATTGTATTGACCGAAAACTTAAATATATGTGTGGATACATAAACAATATCGTGTTCCTAGTGAGTCTATACTAAACAGGTATTTGATCAAAGATGGTTAAGGTTTTTTAACCATAGACATGAGATGTATTTGATAATGGAATCACATCATTAAAAGAATGATGTGATGGACAGACCCAATCATAAAACTTAGCATCAGATCGTATCAATTAGTTTATTTGCTACAGCTTTTTTCATGTCAAGTACCTGTTCCTTAGACTATGAGATCCTGTCACTCCCGAATACTAGAAGAATACTGTGTGGGTTATCAAACGTCATTTCGTAACTCGGTAATCATAAAGGTGCTCTACAGGCATCTCAGTAAATGTTGGTTGGGTTGCATGGATTAAGACCAGGATTTGTCGCTTCGTGTGACGGACAGATATCTCTGGGCTCTCTCAGAAATACAACATCATGAATAGCTTGTAAGCATGTGACTAATGAATTTAGTCACGAGGATCTTGTATTATAGAACGAATAAAGAGACTTGTCAGTAACGTGATTGAAATAGGTACGGCGATACCGACGATTAAAACTCGGGCAAGTAACATATCGCCGGACAAAGGGGGTTATATACAGGATTATCTGAATCCTTGACATTATGGTTCAAACCGATAAAGATCTTCGTTGAATATGTAAGAGTCAATATGGGCATCCAGGTCTCGCTATTGTTTATTGACCGGATAGGCATCTTGGTCATGTATGCATGTTCTCGAACCCGTAGGGTCACACACTTAACATTCGGTAACGCTAGGGTAGTCTTGGGATATTCATGTGGTGAGTCTGAAAGTAGTTCGGAGTCCCAGATGGGATCTGAGACATCACGAGGAGCTCCGGAATGGTGGAGAGGTAAATATTTGTATATGGGAAGTCATATTCAGGGTTCTGGAAAAATGTTTAGGATTTTTCAGTATTGTACCAGGAAGGTTCTAGAAGGTTCCGAAGTGGGGCATATCGGTACTAAAACCAACAGATCTCAAATAGAGGTCCTGAGCTGGTGATCTAGGAATAATGGTAACACGGGGGGATGATGCGGAACGTTGCATTCAAATCAATAAAATTCCTACGAATCACCCAAGATCCATCTATGAGAAGCATATCAATGAGAAGGGAGAGCGTGTCCACGTACCCTCGTAGACCGTTAAGTGGAAGCGTATATTACGCGGTTGATGTAGTCGTACTCTTCACGATCCAATCGCGATTCAATCCGATGAAGTACCGAACAGACAGCACCATCACGTTCAGCACACGTGCGGCTCGATGACGTCTCTTCCTTCTTAATCCAGCAAGCAAGGGTGGGGAAGTAGATGTGATGTCAACTCGCACGACCGCGTGGTGGAGATGGTGGTGGTGTAGTGCCGGGAGGGCATCGCCAAACGCTGTTGAACCCAATCTGAGGAGAAAACGGAGTTATGGGAGAGGTAGGGCTGCCGCGGGGGCGTGGGAATTGGTGTGTCCAGCTGATGTCTACTACGCAACCTTCTTCTTGTAGACTCGTGTTGGGCCTCCAAGCGCAGAGTTTTGTAGGATAATATTAAATTTCTCTCAAGTGGATGACCTAAGGTTTATTAATCCGTGGGAGGCGTAGGATGAAGATGGTCTCTCTCAAACAACCCCGCAACCAAATAACAAAGAGTCTCTTGTGTCCCCAACACACCCAATACAATGGCAAATTGTATAGGTGCACTACTTCGGCAAACAGATGGTGATAGAAGCGTAATATGGATAATAGATATGGCTTTTTGCAATCTGAAAATATAAAAACAACAAGGTAACTAGTAATAAAAGTGAGCGAAAACGTTATTGCAATGCTTGGAACAAGGTCTAGGGTTCATACTTTCACTAGTGCAAGTTTTCTCAACAATGATAACATAATTAGATCATATAACAATCCCTTAATGTGCAATGAAGAATCACTCCAAAGTTCCTATCGTGGAGAACATAAGATGAAATTGCTTGTAGGGTACGAAACCACCTCGAAGTTATTCTTTCCGATCAATCCATTGAGCTATTCCTATAAGTGTCACAAACAGCCCTAGAATTCGTAGTAAAATAACATCATATGACACACATCAATCAAACCCTAATGTCACCTAGATACTTCAATGTCATCATAAGTATCCATGGATCAATTATGCAATATGCATCACACGATCTCAGATTCATAATATTCAATCCAACACAAAGAACTTCAAGAGCATCCCGAGATTTCCATCGAAGAAAGGAATATGAAAACGTGCATCAACCCCTATGCATAGATTACCCTGATGTCACCACGGGAATTCGCAAGTTGATAACCAAAACATACATCAAGTGGATTAACAGAACATCCCATTGTCACCTCTGACATCCCATCGCAAGATATACATCAAGTGCTCTCACATCAAAGATTCAATTTGACATAACAAAACCTCAAAGGAAAAGACTCAATTCATCACAAGAAGATAGAGGGGGAGAAACAACATATGATCCAACTGTAATAGCAAAGCTAGCGATACATCAAGATCGTGCCAAATGAAGAACACAAGAGATAGAGTGAGAGATCATAGCTACTGGTACATAGCCTCGAGACCAAGGGTGAACTACTCCCTCCTCGTCATGGAGAGCACCGGGATGATGAAGATGGCTGCCACTGGTGATGGATTCCCCCTCCGGCAGGGCGCCGGAACGGGCTCCCCCCTCCACCCTTGTGGATGCCTCGTGGCTCCTCTGGTCCATCTCCGATACTCCGTGGGCTTCTTTTGGTCCATAAAAAACGTCCTAAAGTTTCAGCTTATTTGGACTCCGTTTGGTATTCGTTTTCTATAAAACTCAAAAACAAGGAAAAAACAAAAACTGGCACTAGGCTCTAGGTTAATAGGTTAGTCCCAAAAATAATATAAAATAGCATATAAATGCATATAAAACATTCAAGATGATAATATAATAGCATGGAACAATAAAAAATTATAGATACGTTGGAGACGTATCAAGCATCCCCAAGCTTAATTCATGTTCGTCCTCGAGTAGGTAAATGATAAAAACATAATTTTTGATATGGAATGCTACCTAACATATTTATCAATGTAATCTTCTCTATTGTGGCAAGAATATTCAGATCCATAAGATTCAAAACAAAAGTTTAATATTGACGTAAAAGCAATAATACTTCAAGCATACTAATAAAGCAATCATGTCTTCTCAAAATAACATAGCCAAAGAAAGTTATCCCTACAAAATCATATAGTCTGGCTATGCTCCATCTTCATCACAAAAAATATTCAAATCATGCACAACCCCGATGACAAGACAAGCAATTGTTTCATACTTTTGATGTTCTGAAACCTTTTCAAATTTCACGCAATACATGAGCGTGAGCCATGGACATAGCACTATAGGTGGAATAGAATGTGGTGATTTTGGAGAAGACAAAAAGAAGGAGATAGTCTCACATCAACTAGACGTATCAACGGGCTATGGAGATGCCCATCAATAAATATCAATGTGAGTGAGTAGGGATTGCCATGCAACGGATGCACTAGAGCTATAAGTTTATGAAAGCTCAAAAATAAACTAAGTGGGTGTGCATCCAACTCGCTTGCTCACCAAGACCTAGGGAAATTTGAGGAAGTCCGTCATTGGAATATACAAGCCAAGTTCTATAATGAAAATTTCCCACTAGTATATGAAAGTGACAACATAAGAGACTCTCTATCATGAAGATCATGGTGCTACTTTGAAGCACAAGTGTGGTAAAAGGATAGTAACATTGCCCCTTCTCTCTTTTCTCTCATTTTTTTATTTTGGGCCTTCTCTCTTTTTGGTCTTCCGCAGTCTCATCCCGACTTGTGGGGGAATCATAGTCTCGATCATCCTTTCCTCACATGGGGCAATGTTCTAATAATGAAGATCATCACACTTTTATTTACTTACAACTCGATACTTAGAACAAAATATGACTCTATATGAATGCCTTAGGCGGTGTACTGGAATGTGCAATGAATCAAGAGTGACATGTATGAAAGAATTATGAACTGCGGCGTTGGCACAAATACGATGTCAATTACATGATCATGCAAAGCAATATGACAATGATGAAGCGTGTCATAATAAACAAAACGGTGGAAAGTTGCATGGCAATATATCTCGGAATGGCTATGGAAATGTCAGGACCTCGATCGTAAGTCACACCGATCTAGCATGTAACACATCATATCACTTTGCGGCCTCACGCACGGTATTCCCACGGGTGCCACCTTACCTGGCTCGGGACCGTTCGCGCCTTTTGGCTCACATATATGATAGTGTCGCTAGCATCCATATGACAAAGAACCCGGGCCGACATGACTAGTCGTAAACCCAAGATGGCGCTAACTTACAGGGACATGCATACATGACCCAACAACGAACGTGTCGATCATCAACGTATGAACCCAAGTTGTTGCAAGCTA